CTCCAGTTCTCGCCGGTGAATCGCCTCTGATTCATCGTACTTTCCTTGGGATTGTAGAACATTGGCTAGGTTGTTGAGACTTGTTAGGGTGTTTGGGTGGTCTGGTCCAAGAACCTTCTCGCGCCCCTCCAGTGCAAGTCGATTCATCGCCTCTGATTCATCGTACTTTCCTTGGGATCTTAACACAAGGGCTAGGTTGTCGAGACTTGTTAGGGTGCTTGGGTGGTCGGGTCCAAGAATCTTCTCGGAACCCTCCAGTTCTCGCCGGTGAATCGCCTCTGATTCATCGTACTTTCCTTGGGATTGTAGCACATTGGCTAGACTGCCGAGACTTGTTAGGGTGTCCGGGTGGTCTTGTCCAAGAATCTTCTCGGAACCCGCCAGCTCTCGCCGGTGTATTGCCTCTGATTCACCGTACATTCCACGGTCTCGTAGTGCCAGAGCCAGGTAGCTGAAAGCCTCCAGGACGATGGGATTATTTGGGCCCAATGACCCCTCGATATCCTCTAACAAATCCCGCAGTATCTTCTCGGCCACGTCTGCCTTTCCCTGACATATGTTTACGAACCCCAGGATCGTAACCCTCCTCGGACCTTCCTCATCCCAGTCATAGTCTTTATTCTCTTCCCGGAGTGCTATACATCGACGTAATTGAACCTCTGCGTCTTTGTAGAAACCCATATCTACAAAGTAATCTCCCAGGCGAAAACACAGCTCTTCGGCCATGGGATCGGTTGAATGCTTGGTTACAGTGAGTGCATGTGGAATGTATGCGGAACTAACGTCTCTCCACGAGTCCCAATGCCGGGGAAAGAGCCTTGAAACAACTCCGAGCGCATTGGCCCGCCATCGATTCAACTCCTCTGTTGGTAGATATGCCTGTAAAGACAGCTGGACCAAACCGTGAAGCTCGTAAAGGGTCTTGTCCTGAGTTTTCACAGATGTAACTAGCGAAAATCCCAACAGTTTTCCAATAGCCTGACGAAACTCGATTGGATCATCCGTCCCTTCCAAACCACTCTCATTCAATAGCTCCTCCGGTATGTTCTGACGATCGAAGAAGGCAATTAAATGCAGAATTTTTGCTGCTTGGGGCATCTGCCGCGTGATTCGGTCAAAGGTGATAAAGTACGTGGCTAGGATGCTTTCGGTCATGTCCGCCTCTCGTTGTATGTCACAAAACGGCTGTAAAAGGAGTCTCCTTGCTTGTTCGTCGCTTCCCCGGAAAATGGTCCAGTATGCGGATGGCGGTGTCTGGGTTTCCGTCATGAAGGCTGCCGCTCCTACGATAGCTAGAGGTATGTAGTGTAGAGAGCCTAAGATTAATGCGATGGCCTCATTCTCTTCCTCGTTCGAACTGTTCCTGTTACCGCAGAGTTTCGAAAACAATACCGTGGCTTCATCCTCCCCCATTTTTCCGACATCAATCCTTTCGCAATCCTGCCAAGATGCAACCCGGAGTGATCTGGTGGTGAATATCAGAGTACCCCTTTGGCCTTGTGGTACAAATTTGGAGATGGCACCACTGTTTCCAATAAAGTCTTCCTCGTTGTCGGCATTGTCAATCACTAGTATCCAATCACCACTGTCTGGACCTTCAAACCACCTCTTTGTGCTGGCTAGTAATTCCTCTTGGTCCATCTCGGCGCTAGCTACTGGAATTCGAACACACTGTGCTATGGCTCTGAAACCCTCAATGAATTTCAATGCCCCACTCCCCGACACCCAGAAAACATGGCAATCCATCTCGCTTGCGCACTTATAGACATATTCCAGGGCAATCTGAGTTTTCCTAAGCAATGTTAGTAATCCCCGAAATAATAGTGACAGTACTGATTACATACCCAGAACCACCGAGTCCATGAAGTGCGATCCGTGTGTGATTGTTGTGCCTGGATATCCTCTTTATCGACTCAATGAGATCTTCGCGGCCAGTGAACCTGCTGTTTCTGCGATAGGGGATTATGCGATAAGGCCTATTTGCTTCTTCCACTTGTGACAACACCTTAGTTCCTTGCCGGAAATCTCCCGAGAAAATTGATAATACCTCTGCCTTCAACTCCAAATACACATCCTTGATATATTGTTCCGTGATTTGCAGCATTGTTCCCGTAACCCGTGTATGCGTTATTATTATTATTAAAACTACCGAAAACATTATGATCCCCTGAGTTCCCACTAAAGTCTCCCCTAATATAGCCCCGGACTTGTCTGGGAAGGTTATTAGGCGAGTACTTATCATTTCTGAAATTGCAGACATTGAAGGAAAGGGGAGCCCACCGATCCATCAGGTATTCAGCTCACTTCTTAGGCTGTTTTCGAAGGCGGGGTAGGAAAAGTGATAAGAGGCCCCTATCGTATCCCAAACGGGTATCAGAGCCTATACGTCGCCGATTTCAGGTAGCCCAAGATCTTTTCGCGAACCCCGAAACAAGTCAATAACGCGACATATGGTAGGACGGGGAGCCGGGGACGCACCCTTAGATGTGGAGGCGAATAGCCCTGCGGGTTTGAGGCAGCTACTGGTACGGGAGGTGATCCTGCTCGGGCTCTTCGAATTTGGTGAAGCCTAAAGATTTGGCGTAAGGGTGGTGAACGGGTATATGAGCGAAGTGACCACGTCTCGGGGCAGTTGCGTAGATTGAAATTCAGTCTCCTGAAATTAGAAGTCGGGGAAGTCCGCACCGGAAAGAGGATGGAGAAAAGTGGAACACTATGGTATTGCAATACCACGGCGCTGAATGCGGGGTTTGGGAAATGTAGCACTGATTGATTGGCCTCCGGTCGCGGTTTGACTAGTGACTAGCATTTTGCGCATGTCTCGTTCCGCCGCATGAGACAAGAGACGATCAGTCACATTTAAGAACTGCCTCATGACTGCAGAGTATTTTCCTACCCAACAGTCCTCGTAGCCGTGCATTTTGGAATTCTGGCGCTTTATCAGCCGGAGCCTCTAAGAATACATAATTGATCCTCCCAAATGATGCCGATTCTTGAGTACTAGCACGGTACAAGAGGGCTGGCTATTCGGGCCCGCCTTGGAACAGGCCTTGCAAAATGCATCATTTCCGACAACTTGGGGTTTCCCCATCACTATGGTGAAATGGAGCGATCAGACATGGAAAGTCCGAGAAAACTGGGAAAAGACAAGACTCGTGCACCGTACGGTACCTATCACGGTTTGGTGGGGGGCATGGAAAAGACCGGCGGCTTACGTCAGGGCACGTGGCTGGGAATTCCCAGTGGAAATGGGACAGGTGGCATCGAAGGTCGTACGAGGTTGGAACACTACTGACAAGGTTCAAGCAAATACTGTAGGGTGCGCCAACACAAAGCATACTGCCATACCGGTGCGAGAAAGTTCCTACCGCCTCAATCCCATCTCCCCAAAATTCTGGCGCTTGCGCGGGCCAATTTTTCGCTGTGCTAGTATAAATCCTCACATCGTGAGTATGCAGCGGGCATTTCCAAAGCCTAGATGCAGATTCGATGGGGTCATTACGTTGGATTAATACTTGCAGGATAGCAAACACAGGCACTACGGTGGAAAGCCGTCACAGCGGTCAACCTTTTTAGCAACCACAACCGGTTAGTGCGGCTCCCTTACAACCGACTACTCTAGCGACACGAGACTCGAGCCATGGTTGAGAAGAAGGCCTCCAGTAATCCAACCCGAGAGTTGGAAGGGAGGGAGGTTGAAGCGGGGTTTCGGGAAGTAGGGATTCTGAAGGCCGGTGCCTTTATGCCTTAGCAAGCGAGAGTGGTAGTATAAGATAGAGAGTAGCAAATTACCCCTAGTGAACTCAAGATAGTTGGGTGTCCTGGAGCTGAGGGGTTGTGCTTTCAGAGACAGCCGCTACCCCAGTCCCCGGATACCCAGGAAATCCCATGTAACTTGTGATGATTTTTTCCCAGAAGGGTTCTCTCATACAACTCCCGGGATCGAAAAACAGGTCCCAGCCCCTTGCATTATTTTTGATGCATCCCCTGATAACACTAGGTGTGGGTCGATGAGAGAGGAAAGGAATTTGATGTATTTCCTAGCTCCATAGGCAGCTATGATATCTAAAGGGAATACACGACCGCTAACACTCACACACACAACCCTCCGTGCCCTAGCATATGAGGATAACCCCAGTACTACATACCAACATCCCCCCCACCATTCCGCCATTGGCTCGAGCTCACCTTCACCCCTAACCCACCTACCCACATTCCCCCGCTCAGACTCCCCGTTCCCCTTCGGCAGGCCGGACCTCCCCCATCATGCAACTCCCTGGGCCTGGTCATGTTAAATGGCTGGCTCTCCCGCCCCACTCTCGGTTGTAGGATCGGACGGTTAAAAGGTTGCATCGCCAATGTTCATCCCATACGGTAGACTACAGTACTTGGGTACTGTACACTACGAGAATCTCGTGGGGTTTCAGCTAACCTACCGCTATGTTCTTATCGGGCGCAACAACCTTACCATAATTACTTCACGTGGCGGATATATCTATCTGGCGCAATAGTGCAATCTTGTACTGTACTTGTGCCACGGTTTATGAAGCCGTCCAACCAGAGGTAAAAGTAGTAATATTATCCTACAGAGCCGCATGTTTGGCGCCGAGCTCAACAGGCGAGACTGCGTCGCCATGTTATGAGCCGCCGGCATTGGTATCAGGCCACCATGCGAAGTTTCACCTTCTCCATCTACCCGATACTTAATAGTATCTTGCGAGTAAATTATTAGCCAACCGGACGATCATTGAGACGGAACGCTCATCTCGATAGCTCACTGCAGGCGCCTCTGACAATACCAGAAATCTTACAATTGCTAAACTTGTGTTAAGCCTGCCCTCCCTGTACCGATCGCTCCATGTTATCTACCCACAACACAAAATTTCCGGGTTGCGGAGAAATGCCTACCTCGCAGGGTGATTATTCCGGACCCATTACATAAAGTCCGCGCCCTAGGGACGATTATTTGGGCTCCACGATGTGGCCTGGAAGGTTCAAAGCGAGAGCCAGGTGGAACAGGAAATTGCTGCTCTGCTGGCAGTTAAAAGCATCTGGGCGGGCTGGCAGGCCTTGGGCTAGTGGATCTCGGAATCGCTACTGTCGGGTCCCGCTGAGGATATGGCATGAGTCGGTTTGCGGAAGAAGGCCCCGGGGGGGGGGGGGGCGACAATTGTAATAGAGCTTCCTTCAATGTCTCAGAATGTGGGTCCGCACAGTACCCAGGAGGCAGGCAGTGCACGGGAGGGTAGGTGTGTAACTCGAATTCTATTTTGGCACTCATCATATGATACCCGGTTGAACGAAACGAAATGAGCGACTTCCCATGATTCCGAATAGTCAACTAGTGACCACAAAGAGCTTATCGGATGAGAAAGCATAACACATTATTTCCTATCGCCAAAAGAGAAAAGGGACAATAGAGATTGAAATGGGAGAAGGAAAGTAAAAATGGCCAACAATTTCCTCCGTACTGCACTTCATTCAACAGCTGGCCGCTCATGGCCACTCTCCCGTTTGTCATTCTCCGTACTCCTGCTCGATCTGCGGTTATTACCCACATAGATTCCTGTATTCACCCCTGCCGGTTGGACTACGCCCCGTCACCTCTAGTCCAGCCAATACCCGTTGGTGGCCGATAGGAGTAGGGCGAGGACCGTGGAAAGGGAAGGAGATAAACTGGGGTTTTTTTTATGTTCTATGATGCTCTGGTGCCTTTTTTCTGCTTGCTATCCATCTACCGGGCGCAACGGGGGTTTATATGGAAGAGTGTTTCTCTCACGCATCACAAAGACAAGAGTTTCTCCCTGACTGCTTTTCTTCCCCCTATCGACCCGGCTCCTTTCAACCTATATGCCCCGGTCGGCGCTACTAGGGTAATATAATTGGATTGAACTCCCTCTTGACACAATATCTCTTTCACATGACTATCACAGTAGCGATATGAGATTAAGGTAGCGATATCAGCTGTTTTGAGTTTGTATTCCGAGCTTCGTCAAAGAATTCCAAACCAAAAAAAATCTCCCCCGTATTTATGGACAAACACTAAAACCAGCTTAAAACAAATAATACACCCATGCTATCCCCGAAACAGTATATTAGGAAAGGAAAAAGAAAAAACCAATTAATGCCGTATGACCATATTTCAACAGCTGTTTAACTCTCCCTAGTGCTGTCAAACCCCGAACAAGTAAGTCTCCGGTAGGCAAAATTCCCTTGCGTCCCTCTACCTAGAGTGATCTGAGAGCTGAGAAACACCACAACCTCTGAGAAATGCCAGCCAACTACCTTCCACTATTGCATACCCTTCAGGAAACATGAAGAGAGACGAATCATAAAAGAGATATTGGTAAAGACTAAAAGCTTAAAGTCCGGGGACCACAGGACTCCCGAAAATATTCCCATGAGTACCAGTGATCTTCAACACAGCCAAATCTCCTGCGGTGTGAAGGGTCACTATGTCGAGCTGGGACGCTTGCAAAAGGCCAGTCTTCGGCGCAAATAACCGACAACACGGCGAGAAAATTGTGGCCGCGTATCTATTGGGTTTCCTGGGAGAGTGTGCCCTGCACGCCGCTCAACTGTCGCTGAATCGCTACCCTCTCCTTGGAGTGGTATGACGGTAGCCAGGCGGTTGGCACTTAGTTGGGTTTTAGGATGGTCGGGTCCAAGGATCTTCCTGCGCCCCTCCAATGCACGCCGGTTAATCGCCTCTGATTCACCGTACTTTCCTTGGGATTGTAGTACAAT